CATTATACTGCATATGTTTTTGGGGGGAATTGACCTTCTGAAAAAAAAGAAACAGGCAGCGACCAGAAAGAGACATGACTGCAGATCTATCCGCAAGTGGTCCATCCGGACCCATCGGGTCCACAAGTCCGTTTCTTTGGACCGGATTTCATGGATTGATTCTGAGTCCAAGACAGTCCAAAATCATTGGTGCCAGGCTTGGTCCTTTTGCCAAGATGGTGCTCTCTCTTCCTTTTTTTCGTTAGAGAGACAACTCCTTTTCCTCGATCAGCTCGATCAGCTCGTCACGGTGTCCACCGTACCGCCGACACGCCGCAAATCACGGCCACCTCACCTTTTTGGCATCACATGTGCATCATTCACATCGCATCCTTCAGGAGCTGCAAGAGAAAGTCTTGCAAGCTGAAGCCGAGCACCGGCGCCGCATTGCCGAGTGGCAGAAGAGGACCACCAAGGGGCGAACAGCGGCGATTGGGCGAACAGGGAGATTCGGCGATGCATCCGAGCACCGGCGTCGGAGTAGACCTTAGGTCTGCCGGCACTCGTTTGACGAACTGACTCAATGTGGGACTCACAATACTAGTATGTGACATTGGAGAATGGTGACTAGATGTAACTACATATGACGGCATAGCAGGTTGGAGGGTTGTAAAAACTGGGAACTGTAAACTGGAGTAGTTGTGTAGCATGACGCGCAGTTTGCCTTTGCGTCCAGCCACCATAAGCCATCCAAATGATCACAATATGAATGATGGGTGTTGCTTGCCAATTTTTGTCTAGGGATCGGACGTTTATTTCTTTATGACTCTTTGTGCCGGCTCAACCCAAGCTGATTCTATCCTGAAGCCTCTTTGGGGATACTCCCACGTCCCTTCCCCGCGGGCTTCTGTCATACAACGTCGGGCCAGAATGGAGAAGCAGAAGAAGGAGCTGACCAAGATCACCTGTGACAATACTTCACTCATGGAGCAAATTGTCAGTATGGGCTACTTGGCACGCTTGACTCACTAAACTAGTCACTAGACAGGCGAGATTAAACGAATCAGCCTAAGTAACTATAAACATCTACAAGCTAATTAGCGGCTGCTAGTACTTCAGCTGCTTGAATGAATGTCATTGATCTCCGCGCCCACATCGGTGTTTCATTCTTTACATTCAGGCTGTTGTTCAAAAGACTGGTACATTTGAGGCTATTCGCAGATGCAGCTGGATGCTGCCCTCAACGCACGGATAGCTAACGTGTGCAGCTTACCGTTCGGTTCATGTGCTTCACTGCAGTGGCCTGTTGCAGCTGTTGTACTGGATGGACGTGGCGTTGGTGTTTCCAAGCTTAGTAGTGACATGTAGTTAGTACAGTTGGGTGACCTTGCTGATTGGCAAAGAGGTCTAAAAGGGGGTTGACCATTTTGAGGGTTGAACTTATGACCTGGGTGTCAATGCAGGTGCAAAAAGACAGTAGCTTGCATGGTGGAACATCTTCTCAACAAGTACTTCACACCGGAAAAGTAAGCCTGGCCGTTGAGAAACAAGGAAACAACAACGACCCCGAATTCAACGAGCAGCTTGAGGTGGTACTGATGTGATTCTCGTTTCCGCTTGTGAACAGCCCGACTGTTTTGTCCTAGGTCACCGTGAATGACAATGAGCCCCTGAATGAGCTGCGTGAGATGGCATCTCGGACCAAGAGCATCTGCCGGAGTACCAGCTGGATGGCGCAGTTGTCTCAAATGGTTCCCTGAACAAAGCAGCTCTGTAGCTCTGTGTAGGTTGGAGGCCATTGCTAGTAGGTTGGAGGCAATTGCTGGTGGGTTGGAGGGCATCGCTAGTAGGTTGGAGGCCATTGCTGGTAGGTTGGAGGCCATCGTTAGTAGTGTTGGAGGCCATCGCTAGTAGGTTGGAGGCCATCGCTAGTAGGTTAGAGGTCATTGCTGGTTGGAGTCGATTGCTGGTAGGTTGGAGGCCATCGCTAGTGTTCTTTTTTCCCACAGCTCGTGACGCTTGACCTGCAGAGACCGTTCGGTCGTCACTCAGGAGAGAGACCGCTGCAAAGACCTGCTGTCGCTTCAATCCAAAGAGATCGCCACCTTGAAGGTGGAGATTTGTTCATTTCGCCCATAGGTCGGTTCTTTGATGCATTTATATGATGTATTACTATGAATGTATTACTGTCTTACAAGTTGTCTTACATTTTGTACATTTTTGTTGTTAGTTTGTCTTGTGCCGGTATGCTTAGAAAGGTAACTTATATGACTTGCTTTGTTTGGATTTGTGATCATGATCTACAGTGATCTACCAATTTGGACCCACTCAATCAATCTAGGCATGATTGATGCTTCCTTACATGTCAACCTGCCTCAACCAGCAGAACATTAGAGTTGGTGTTTCGATCCCGATCCCGATACTTCCGGAGGCAGAGATCAACCTCTTCCGGAAGAAAGGTGGTCACATTTACACGACGGCCAGATGCTTAGCGGGAATTGGAGGATGACATGTGTACCTCCAATGAACTCCGTCTTCCGAAAGCGGACACACTGACGTCAGAGACGGCGGAGACGGCACGTTTGTGTATGCTGGTTCAGATTTGGATTCGCAGTGTGCATTCTCTTTCGTATGTGAGTGTGATAGGAGATGCTGGCACTTGTTTGCCAACAAGTCTACTGTCAAGGTGATGTGGGACATCCTTGTTAAGTGACTCATGGTTGGCAATAACCACCTGCAATTCTGACAACAGAAGTCTCATGCACTGTGTGAGACCCATGTCGTGTGTGTGACCCATTTCATCCCGTCGGATCCAATGTCTGAAGCAGAAGCCAACCGCGCGCCCAGGTGACTGCCAACCGCAGCTGAAGTGGCGCTCTTTGAGCCATTTCGGAGATTTCCCACGTTTGTCGATGTTACTTGCGGAGTGGCTGAGGTAAAAAGTACCAATATGATAAACATAAACGGTTAAAAAGAAACAATATTGTTATCAAACAATTAACAGATATTGTTATAAAGTAAGACTATACATAGATCTCAGATCTTCTTTTGAAACAACAAGAAATGTTGGCGCTTACTGCTCACAGTCCAACATTCAACAAAACAAAATGCATTCCAGAATCCTTCCCACACGATGGCTGGACAAACTGCTGGACGGACCAAACTCACACCGCGCTCCGGTCCGCCGGTGACGCGATTTGGTTTCACCGGAAGCTCGGCTGCACGAAAAACCAGTGCGAAGCGCTGAATTCAACGGATCGCTGCAGCGTTTCACGCCAGACTTCTCACCAGGCGCATCCGACATGCACGGTTTTTGCAATGGAATTGGCCTATGCAAGCAGCTCGGAATGTACGCATGTTCTGCTCCTAAAGTCTAAGGCAATTAGCAGTCCTTCACTACAGACAAGGGCCTGCAATGGTTCTCAGGATGCGATTCTCGTGGTGGAAGCCAAAAAGCTTCGCGCGCGGCCATGTGAGATTCCAATCAGGTTCAAGACGCTTCGTTGTGGACGAAGCCCCCAAGGGCCCAAGAGTAGCTGGAGTGTACTCTAACAGACTGCGGGTGGTCTGTCATCCGCAATCCACCCGATCCACTTCATTTGGTCTGTCAAACCTGGTTCCCACTGCTTCATCAAGGCAAGCGTTTGGGTCATGTTTCTTGTTTGTTTCTTTTGTTTTCTACCACTGTTTTCCTTGCTCATGTTCTTAATCAACTTCCCTCCCCGTAGCTCTCCCTCAGTGTCTTAGTTGATATTGCCTGGCAAGCCTGCGCAGTCAAGCCCTGCTTTCGGCTCAAGAGGATGTTGATAAACCATGCTTGGGCTGAAAACTGAATCAAGACTGCAAGTACTGTAGCACGCATGATCACAAATCATGGGCCATGGATGTCCATGGCATCACGACACTGATCTGGCATTGGTAGCGCATCTCAAGGGATTCTTAGAGCATTTTAGTTGCCCCCGGCAGCTTCCAAAGAAGAGTCGACTATCAAAACATATTCAAGCACACAAGACGCAGTCTGAACGTTGTCTCCGCACCCGAGGGTGTTGTTCCTTGTTTGCCTCCAGGCAATCTGGTAAGTTGAAGCCGGTTTTATCATGTGCCTACTCGCTTTTGCCCCGGATAATTACAGTTAAGTCGTGTATTGAAGTGCTGAAGCAAAGTCGGCTCCGTGTGACCACTAGTGACATGTGCATCTCCCACTGGATTAGCAGTCTGAATGATTTGAAGGGACACGGGACACCCTACCGTGACCGGTTGAGCCGTTGTGACCGGTTTTTAGCCGTTTCTGTCCGGATTGGGCAGGCGAAGAGAGCTCATGCCGACTTCACGAGCTCAAGAGCAGGTGCCATGCTTTTGATGAAGATGTTTTGCACATCCCACGTTTATGTTTTGACTGCGACAGGTGGGATTCCTTCGAATTTTGCAAACGGGTGGATGTTTAGGCTAGCACGTGGTCGCTTGGTACTACTCCCCCACAAACTAACATAGAACCTGAAAATTGACCCGTGGAAGACTATTTTCCTCTGGAACCTGGCAATTTTGCTTTGACTCTTCCTATGCAAACAACGAACACTTGTTGGTGTGCATCCCCAAATGCAACTGAAACCTCGGCCGAAGCTCACCACTCTACACCACTCTACGCTGGCTGCGGTTGTCAACAAAGTCGGACATACCCACTTTAGGCGGCAGAGGCTGCTATGACGCCCATCACATGCAGTCCGCTGAAGCATGCGGCCGATTCGGGGATCGCACCGGTCTCATGAGGCCTTTAAGGAGCTCAAGCTGAATGACAAGTACTTCATGTCCTTGCTCTTGCCTATGGCAGAGGCCAGGCTCAGATTCTTCGTGAGGTACACCAATCTGGCTGGCCTTCATGCATTTTTGGACCGGGCTAAGACCGACTTGAATCGGTTGGATATCACCAGTCCAAAGATGCCCCAGTAGTGGCTCGTTCCTCTTGCAGAGAGTAAGCCCAACAAAAACTCCATGGGGCTGTGGCCGGAACATGGCCCGTCCCCCCCAAAAGAAAGGACGCACAGGCGAGCGATCACAAGAAGGAAAAAAGATATAAAGAGACGTAATAACATGTAATAACCATCCAGATATATAACTGAATGCTAGTGATTATTTGTTTTAGTGGGTTAGGTGCCTAGAGACAGCAGACATAATTTAGTAATTCCAATACAGTAAATAATAGAAAGACACCCCAAAAACAAGTTCATAAGTACAATAGACTAAGAATATATTTCATTTGATGTCTTAAGAGCATTATTCTAAGAGATCATTGGTTTTTCTAAGTGTGCATCTACGGCCTACCCGGTCGGAAGGTGGCACGCCACCCGACTGCCAGGCTGAAGGTGACTTCGACGTCTACCTCATGGAGAATGGAGTCGAACGCTTGTTCGAAGGTGTTGGTGTTTGGTTCGGTTGGTTCGGTTGGTTCACAGGAGACATGCCAAGAATTTGACAGTTGACAAATCCACAGCAAGTGTTGGGACGGAAGAATGGCCGCTGAAGACGAATGGGGGCGTTAATAAGGTGTACGACATTTGAATTTCTCCGCGCAGCTGAGGTTATGCCTGTTCTTCTTCAAGGCCTTGATGCTCTGAGCAGGTTTGCTTCTCAGTCCAGAGGCCTTGAGTCCTCTCGTACACAATATGATATGTTAAACGCATTTAAAAGCAGTCAGTATTCACTAGGCATGTTGTCAGCTCTAGATAGAGACTTAACGGATTTCTTTTTTGGCGTGGTGCTCATGTTGTCCCATTTGTGTTGCCAATGTTGCCCCTACTGTAAGTTATAGTTTGTGATACAAGTATCGTTAGTCGTTGGATACAGTGATACAGTCTTGCATTTTCATGCCGTGGTGCCTGCAAGCGCTCTTCTCAGCACAGGCATGCGGCATGTGTACCAACATATTTGCTTTGAGCATATGCTGGTTGAATTGACTGTCGGTGTGCTGTTTTTTTTGCATTTGGCGTTCTCGCATTCCGCATTGCTAGCCTCAGCTTCAGCCCCCTACAGACCGACATGCACATTTTTGGATTGCACAGATTGGGAATGATAGGGTCAAGTCCTGATTGCAATTATTGAACTATATTGAACTCCTGCCAACAGCTAGCCACTTGAACGAGCACGATCTTGCAGCCCTTTCAGCATTTCTTCCCAATTTGATTCCCCAAAAAATCCACGCATGGCGTGCTCTCCAAGTCGTCACTCATGGCGTGTTCTCCATGGCTTCGCCGGACTCGGCACCGGTGTCCGTGGCCAGCTTTCTGAGGCACGTGGACAAGCTGGCCACTGGTGGCGAGGGCTCGGGCTCCTCGCGGCAGAAGTTCAACCCACTGACCTGGTGAGCGCCCTGGTGAGCGCCATCAGGACACCCGACAGGATCTTTGGAACGGGGGGGGGCCTTGAAGATCCTTAAAGAGTATATTGAGTCCTTTTGCTTGGTCTTACTTGTCCATGGTTTTCTCATTGTGTTGTCAATTATAAAGCGGTTCTTTGGGCCTTTCCCCCTTGAATATATCCATGCTTTTCGTGTTATGCATATCAATCCGCAGCGCTTTCGCTCGTCTCCCTCCGCGGACGCCGGCCGATCGTCCAAGGTTGGCTCAGTACCTGCTGCGCAACCACCCGCTGCATACATCGGATCATCGCGACAGCATGTGCGCCGATCGATGTGATCCCACGGGACCGGTGGAGGACGGGGATCCGACAGGCGGACCGGTGGCAAGGCCACGAGGAGCACGTCTTCACTGAGAGACCAATGAGTGTAATGTCACAAGTACTCGTGCTTTCGAGGTACCAGCACCTGCAGGAGCTTGCGGCAGCCAGCGCCCCAGGGGAGTTCCACTCTTCGGAAGTGAACCAATTGCTTCTACAGTCTCAAGCAAGTTCATGATTGCACGATCTGCATAATTTGATACTGTACACTTTGAGCTATAAATGCTATATTGACTGGTCCTGGTAACAGCTAATATGTACCAATGCAGCATGCGCCTACATGCATTGGAGTGTGACCTTCCAGACACTTTAGGGTTTCATCATGACCCCCACGACATGTACCAGGGCCGACCCCAAGGGCCGCCCCAAGGGCCTCTCCCAGCAGGGCGTTCATCCACCACTCCCCGCGGTGAACGACGCGCCAGCTGGCCCCGCGCCCAGGTGGAGCGCGGCCGGCGGAACTTGCTCCGGAGAATGCCGGAATTCGAGTCCGCGTGGATGCTCTTCACCGAGGTCTCGGAGGGGTGACGAGTTCCTTCACGGCACCGGGTGCCGGTCGTTCCGCGCGCGCGGAGTGGCCCCATTTTTTGGTCGGGCTAAGCGTCGAGGAGTGGCTTCACCGATGGTCGTGGAGTTTCTCACGTTTTCGGCGGAGTCATAGGGGACCCACAGCAAGATGAACATGGTTCAACACCTGGAGGCCTGGTCCACCATGTAGCGAAACAACCTCGTCAACCAGTCGGTCAGATATCAGCATCATATCATGGGCCACACCCATGGCCTTGCCCTGTTTTACGATCGATCCAGCCTGCAGGGCCATGGGCTATCTACCGCACAGATTGAGCAGGTCTTGCAGGCGCGACATCGATGAAGAGACAGAGAGATACAGAGAGGCATCAGATGCCTCTTATTTTCGGAGGGCATCAATGGGCAAACGATTGCAAAATCATGCAAAATCAATAACACGAATAGGTCGACTTTAGGGAGATGCCATGATCTTGTTTGATTTATCATCATCTATATCTATAATTTTCCAGCTTTTATCAGCACAGCACATTACAGATCAATGACCACGATTATGACCATGATTGAAGACTTATATTAGAATTATATAATAGACTCTTTAATAGACACAATTACTAGCCCACATTCGCTAGACACCTTTGCAATGGAGCCAATAGAGTGAGGGTGACAGCAAGAGTGGCTGCATGGCTTGTTTCAGATCTCCTTGAGGGGAGTTTGCTGCGCCATAGCAACGACAATCGTATGTGCAAGGGTCAAGCACACGATGATGATTTTAATAGGGCAGCCGCCTTGAGGTATCATAAACCATGAAAACATGTGAGTAGCGATACCACCATTGAAGAGCTGATACCATGGCGATACCATCATCAGTGATTTGCAACAATGCTGTGTGAACCGCAGCCGGTTTCCTTACCCAAGGATCGGTAGATACCTAGCTTGAATTAGATCAGGTTGGATGGGATCGTATTGGATGGGATAGACAATAAGGAAGATAGATGACATCCTTGACCTTTCCGAATTGTCTAGCTGCTCTCGGCGATACCCCTTGCGATGTCCAAGCGATACGCGAAATCCAGTTAGGTGACCATCTGCACACCGCCAGGCTACTTCTACTACTTACTACGACGCTACTACTACTACTACTACTGCTGCTGCTGCTGCTGCTACTGCTAGTTCTCCTCCTCTCTGCTGCTGCTGGTCCTACTGCTGCTGCTACTACTGCTGCTGCTGCTGCTACTACGACTACTACTCCCACCAAACGGCGACAAGTCAAAAAAGTTGCTGGCGCTGTGTATAGCGATACCACCCTTGAAGGCGATACCCATGACATCCCATGACCTTACCGTCACACAGAAGGAGTTTTGACCGTCGCACATATGCACATCAGCTGCGATGTTGTGATTTGTTGATGCTCTAGGACCACGGTTATCGTGTTGTGACTTCATAGTGCAAACTGAGACACTGCTTGCAGATGACATTCAAGTTCCAGGCACCTCGACCGCACCCAACCCACCGATGGTCCGCTTTCTCATATTCATCATGCATCCGCTTCTGTTGTTGCTACAGCACCCACTTGCTTCCGGAGAATGCCGGATCCGATCCGCGCCAACCGACCGCGTTCATCGCCGCAGCAACTGGACACCACGTGGAACTTGGAGGGCGAGTTCGTGAGGCGACGTTCTTCGCCGCCGACCGGAGGGTTTGAGTTGTTGTTGTTGTTGTTGTTGTTGTTGTTGTTTGTGGTGGCGACATTCGCGGTGGGAAGGATTGAAGGATAAGGAAATATAAGATGATAAGATGTTTCAGAGGTTTTTAATTTGTTTGAAATTACAAACACTTGTCAACGATGCTGTATGTTCATGTCTTGCACTTACCAAAAGTGATGGCATGATTGAGGCTAAAACGATGACTATAGTTACTATAGTTTACATTTGTTTTATATATTGATATATTACAATATAATACAATAACTATCAATAACTACTATATTATGGCTTTACGGTTTGGGATGTTTTGGGTTTTGGGTTGGAACAAGCGACTGAAAAAAAAAACACAGAGGAATGTGTAGACATGTTTGCTGCATTACGTCGACTTGACCCGCTCTTCGTTTGAACGAAGAGCTTCGTTGAGCGTTAAGTCGACCTGCTGGGGATTCGTCAGGTGCCTCCCTTCCAACTTCGTGGCACGAATTCCTTGCGTGGATCCAGAGAAGGCGATTCCCACAAGCTAGCGAGTCCTTGGTGTTTTTAGATGCGGAACCGAGAGCTTTGCAATGTATGCTTGGGTTGGAACTGCAGGTGTCCTGTTTGGATGGATAGATCAATGCCGTATGATGTGAAAACTGCTGGACTAGGCGTTCAGGGCAGGTTTGCTTGGCGACCAAGTCACCAAGCAGCAAAGCAGCACATGGACTGTCACCGCATCATGAAAATGAGCAGGTGACCTTCAACGAGTTTTGGACCTTCTTTGAGGAGACCCGGTGTGGAGCATTGGGAACCAGTGCCAAGACTCTTCAGTCTCGCCTCAAGTCGTGCTTCACACACCTACATTTACATACATAAATCATACATACATACATACATACATACATACATACATACATACATACAT